AAAAGGAGGAGGGGAGGGGCAGGAGGGGGAGGGGAGGAAGAGGAGGAAGAGGAGGGGGAGGGGGAGGGGAAGGAGGGGAGGAGGGAGAAGGGAGGAAGAGGAGGAGGAGAAAGAGGAGGTGGGGGATGAGGGGAGGAGAAAAGGAGGAGGGGAGGGACAGGAGGGGGAGGGGAGAAAGAGGAGGAGGAGAGAGGGAGGAGGGGAGAGGGAGGAAGAAGAGGAAGAGGAGGGAGAGGAGGAAGGGAAGGAGGGGAGGAGGAGGAGGGAGAAGGGAGGAAGAGGAGGAGGAGGAGAAAGAGGAGGTGGGGAGGAGGGAAGGGAGAGGAGGAGGAAGGGGAGGAGGAGTAGGGGGAGGAGAACCAGGGGTGGGCTTCAGGGGATTTGCAGGGGTTCGGGAAAGCCCCTGTCTAAGATTCTGCGCAGTTCAGAGAAACCCCAAATCCCACCCCCTGGCTGGCCCCGCCCACCCTGCCCCTCTCCTCCCAGGAGTCCCCACACGGCCCATTCTGGATGCAGGGAAGTGCAGGGCGAACACGGAGGCTTTGGGAGGGTGAAAAACGGGCCTCCTGGAGGCTCCGGAAGGCCGGAAATGGGCCCGTTTTGGGCCTCCATAGCGCCTCCGGAGCCTAGAGAAGCCGTTTTCGCCCTCCTGGAGACTCGAGGGAAGCCTCGGGAGCCTGGGAAGGGCCAAAACACCTCTCCCCCACCCACCATGGTGCAGGAGGCTGACTAGGCCACGCCCACCATGGGCACGCCTACCCAGCAAGCAGGCTAGGCTTTATCCTCAGTGCCAGAAGCAAATGGGATTCCTCTCTCTCTCTCCCTCTCTCCCTCTCCCTCTCCCTCTCCCCCTTGTCCTTCCAGGAACTCCATGGATCCGAATCCATCACGATGCCCCCAGGCTGAGCGAGACCCAGCGAGAAACCTTACAGAAGGCCCTGATTCTGGGGGACGTGGAGCCCTTCACCCCTCCTGCGAAGGTGGTGAAAATCCTTCTTCCTACCGGAGAGTCAGCCATGCCTGGATCCCAGTGGGAGAGGAAAGGGGTCCCTGAGAAACTGCAGGCAGAAGGACCCTGGGAGCAGCCCCCACCGAGAACAGAATAGAATAGAGTAACAGAGTTGGAAGGGACTTTGGAGGTCTACTAGTCCAACCCCCCCACCCACCCCTGCTTAGGCGGAGAAACCACCCTCCACCACTCCGGCCTTAGTTTTTAAGACTCTCGTTTTACAGAAGGGTGAGAAAAAGAGACGGAACTTGCAAAAGGTTTGCGCGGTCTCCTTTGGAAGGGCGACAGAGACCTGGTGGTCCAGATCAGGGGAGCTCTCCGCCTGGGGAAGGTCTACTTTTAGGTCATCGTTGAAGGATGACGCCAACCCGATGCTCCCTTCCTCATCAGTCAGGTGGAAGGCTCACACCTGTACGTTTGAACCAGAGGTGGTGGATTCAGCCGGTTCTGGCCAGTTCTGGAGAACTGGTAGCGGAAATTCTGAGTAGTTTGGAGAACTGGCAAATCCCACCCCTGACCGGCCCCACCAACCCCATCTCTCTTCTCCGCCTCCCATTGAGTCCCAGCTGATCGGCTGGGTCTCCTTTGGTTGCCCGGCCCAGGAGAATGGAGCTGGAAAGCAGGTTAGTGGGGTGGGGAGGGGAAGGGGGAATTTTCCAGTATCCTTCCCCTGCCACGCCCACCAAGCCACGCCCACAGAACACCACACCCACCAAGCCACACCCACTGCTGATCGGCTGGGCCTTCTTTGGTTGCCCTGCACAGGAGAACGGAGCTGGAAAGCAGGCTAGTGGGGTGGGGAGGGAAGGGGGATTTTGCAGTATAGCCTTCCCCTGCCACGCCCACCAAGCCACGCCCACAGGACCGGCAGTAAAAAAAAAATATTGAATGCCATCCCTGCTTTGAATGCCAGCCCATTTGGGTCTGGTCGAGCAGCAGTTGGAATGCAGCTGACTCATCGCCCAGCTGTGTCGTTTGGGCTGGAGCTTCATCCGCCTCCGTTCTCCATGCGCCCGCTCCGTTTCTCAAGCGCGTCAAACGGAATTCATACGCGTCCACCGTCGAACTAAATTCAGGCTCGATGCCCACATTGCAAAACAGGTGTTGAGACCTTGGAAAAAGCGCAGAGAAGAGTAACTAACGTGAAGCAATCTGGAGTTAAGGAGAAACTTCCTAACAGTGAGAGAAATCAACTAGCAGAATGGCTTCCCTTCAGAAGTTGTGGACGGTCCATCACTGGGGGGTGGGGGTTTCAAGAAGAGACTGGACAAATTGCACGGGGTACTGAAATAGGATAAGGTTTCCTGCTTGAGGAGTTGGTTGGACTAGTCCAGGGGTCGCCAACCTTTTGGACCTCAGGGACCCCCAAAGTCATCATTTAAAATCCCGCGGACCAGAGACCCTGGGAAAATCCCAAGAAAAGTCTGCAGGAAAATCCCCCACCCCGTTTTCCTACCGATCGATC